GTCCTGATGGCCTTAGGGCTAAGTGGTTTTACTATTCTCCAGAAATTCTATTGCTTTGGAGGCCCTTCCCTAATCTACATCATGGCATCATGCTTTGCACACAGATGACCTGGTTAGGTTCAATCCCTGGCATCCCATACGGTTCCCTAAGCACAGCCAGGCATGATCTCTGAGTTCAGAGCACGGTGGGTGTGGCCCAAAGGCAAAAAAAAAAATTCTCTTTTTTGGTAGATATATTGGGGAGGAGTGGGATTCGCAAGGCACTCAGGAGACAGGCAAAAGACCTCTCCTTATTATTGTTTTGTGTGTGTGTGTGTGTGTGTGTGTGTGTCACACCCGGCATTGCTCAAGAGTGCAAACCCAGGAATTACTCCTGGCGGTGCTCAAGGGACCATATGGGATGCTGGGAATCGAACTGGGGTCTGCCGCGTGCAAGGCAAACGCCCTACCCACTGTGATATCGCTCCAGCCCCTGATGATTTATAGTACCAGAAATGGGCTGCATGCAAGGCATATGCCTTAACTTCTCTGTAATCTCTCTGAACTCTTCAGGTTGTCTTTCTATATATTAATATATTCTAATTCATTCTCTTTCAAAGTTGCGTAGTATTGCAGGCAGATAATATACTTTTGGAAAATAATAAAACTTAAGCAATTGACTAGGTAGGGCACTAGTCTTGCATGTTTTTTTATCCCTGGCATCTCATATGGTTCTGTGAGCTGACCAAGAGTGACTCCTGAGTTGCAGAGTCAGTAGGAAGTCACAAATGTTGCCAGGTGTGGCCCAAAACCAAAAAAAAATTTTAAAAAGAAGAAATTGCCTAATTCTGAAGTAACACAAAGGCATGATGACCACATCTTTTTGTAATATAAATCTTGAGCTCGTTGGAGAGAACAAACTGAAACACACCCCCGATGCAGAAATCCAAGTCCCCACCCAGACAAGAATGGACCCTCAGAAAAGGAGAAGTTAAGGAAGCATCTATAGTATTATAAAACGACCATCAATAGTTCCAGGCTTTCCCGTGACAATGCCCACATTAATTTCTAGGTATACAAAACTCCAGGAAAAAAAGCATTAGGAGGAATTGTATGAAACCTCTTCCTGACTGCCATTTTGGTTTTTTTTTTTTTTGTAGGAGTACTGCTATTTATTCAGCCACTGATTAAAGTAAAGTAAAGTAAAGGCCCTCCCGTTGATCATCGATTTGCTCGAGCGGGCCCAGTAACGTCTCCATTGGAGACTTTGTTGTTACTGTGTCTGGCATATCGAATACTCTCGGTAGCTTGCCGGGCTCTCCGAGAGGGGCGGAGGAATCAAGCTCGGGTCGGCCATGTTGGCTGTGTGCAAGGCAAACGCCCTACCGCTGTGCTATCGCTCCACTCAGCTGATTGAATTGTGCATGAACTCCACCTTACTTTTTTTTTCCATTTTTTATAATTTTATTTATTGAATCACCGTGAGAGCAGTTACAAAGCTTTTGGGTCTAAGTCTCAGTCATACAATGAAACACCCGTACCTTCACCAGTGCCCATTCTCCACCACCAAAAATCCCAGTATACCCCCATCCCACACCCTCCCCCTGCCTGTGGGGCAGATGATTTCCACATTACTCTCTCTCTCTACTTTGATGACATTCACTATTTCTACATCAGACCCACCATTATTTGAGATTTTACCCCAACACTCAGATCTGCTGAAAAGGCAACAATAGACAATTTGTGTTCTATTGCTGGTTATGAATAACATATGATGTCGTGTGGCTGCAGTAGGGCCATGTGGTTTTGAAATTCCGAAATTTTAACACTTAAATCTGGAGGGATTTCTGCCAAAAGCCACTGGTTTTAGAGATCTGCTCCTGAGTCTCTGGGATCATGGCCGTTGAGCAGCTTGATGAGGAGCCAGAGAGGCCGTTTGTGGGCGATGACTTGGGGTCTCGTTGGGGTGGGGAGGACAGGCCCGGCTCCCCCCACCCCGTCCCGTGAGGCCCAACAAGTTTCATCACTGCGGGCCCAAGCCTGACTGTCCAATGGCCTCTGGAGGATGACAGCCACTAAGTCGCCAAGAGGGAGCAGGCGGAGGGACAACACCCTTTCCTCCCTGGGGTGGCCCGGAGACAGTAACGTACTGACAGTAACGTACGACAGTCCGGATGCATTTCTGCCAAAAGCCACTGGGTTTTGAGATTTGTTTCTGAGTCTCTGGGATCATGGCCATTAAGCAGCTTGATCAGGAGCCAGAGAGGCTATTCGTGGGCGATGACTTGGGGTCTCGTTGGGGTGGGGAGGACAAGCCCGGCTCCACCCCCATCCCGTGAGGTCCTGTGTGTCTCGTCACTGGGGGCCCAAATGTGACTATCCAGTGGCCTCAGACGGATGGTGGCCACTGGGCCGCCAGGGGGAACAGGCCAAGGCACAAAACCTATTCCCACCTGGGTTGGCCCAGCACCGGTAGCCTACTGCAGAGACCAGACGCATTTCTACCTAAAGCCACTGGGTTCTGAGATTCGTTTCTGAGTCTCTGGGATCATGTCCATTAAGCAGTTCAATCAGGAACCAAAGAGGCCTTGCCTCCAATTATATAGCTGAGCCGGAGGTGGTTTGTGGGTGTGTTTCCCACATACCTAACTTTTGGCCGTTTACTTTCTTGGTAAACTCTGCCCCAAGTTTTTGGGGTCTGGCCAAAGGCACAGCAGCAATTTTGGGGTATCTGGAAGTCTGAAGGCGCCATGAGGCTGCTGATGCACTCGCCTCACAGGTACAGATTGACCTGCTGGCGGCACCATACACCCCGACTGCCATTTTGGACTGGCTCTTTCAAGTCTGTGTTCTCCCATGAACAATCTTTCTACATCTCTTTTCTTCCTTGATCTTTTCAGCTAATCTTACCTGAATGCATATTCCTTTCCTTCTCCCCTTCACATCTAAGTAAGTTTCATTTAATAAAAGTTGTCTTGGATCAGAGTGATAGTAGAGCAAGTAGGGCATTTACCTTGCATGCAGCCGACCCAGGTATGATCCCTCATATTCCATGTAGTTCCCAGAGCAGTGCCGGGTGTAACTGCTGAGAGCAGACCCCGGAGGAACCCCTGAGAATCCTGGGTGTGACCCAAAAAAAGCAAAAAAAAATTTGTCTTGCTTCACAATTTTGTTCCCTCCTGAAATTTTTATTTGCTGATAGTGCTTGGGGGACTATGTGGGATGCCAGGGATCGAACCTACATCAGCTGTGTGCAAAGGAAGTACCCTACCTGTTATACTATTTTTTTTTTTTGCTTTTTGGGTCACACCCGGCAATGCACAGGGGTAATTCCTGGATCATGCACTCAGGAATTACTCCCGGCAGTGCTCGGGATGCTGGGAATATGGGATACGGGATGCTGGGAATCGAACCCGGGTTGGCTGTGTGCAGGGCAAACGCCCTACCCTCTGTGCTATCGCTCCGGCCCCAACCTGTTATACTATTGCTCTGTCTCCTATGCTTTTAAATTTTTGCTAGGTGAAAATAATACAGTATACTATTGATTCTGATTGATTTGTATATTCTTCTGTAGGAAAGTGAGAAAGTGTATAGGCACAAGAGTTCCTTTTTAGGAGAGAACTTGGGTGAAGGATGTCTTTCTCTGTGATGTCTACTTAGAATGAGTGTCTGTTTGTAAGGATGTCTGCATCCTGGAACCGGTTTGACTCTTCTGCTGAAGCCAGCATCTTTTTTTTTTTTTTTCTTTTTGGGTCACACCCGGCGATGCTCATGGGTTACTCCTGGCTTTGCACTCAGGAATCACTCCTGGTGGTGCTCGGGGGACCATATGGGATGCTGGGAATCGAACCCAGGGTGCAAGGCAAACGCCCTACCTGCTGTGCTATTATGCTCCAGCCCCTGAAGCCAGCATCTTAAATCTGCATATTAATCTATACCCTTGTTTACTCCACCTTTCCAGGTAACCTTCCGGAATAGATCATCAACGACCACCCCTATTTCATTTCTGGGGACTAATAAGTTTTGTCTCCTTCCTAAAGGTGCTTTGAAACCATTTGCATTTTGCTCTTGTGTCAATCTATCTAATGGTGCTTTTTTTTATCAGCCAGTGGGAAGGGGGAATTTTCCCCTCTCCCCACCCTCACATTTTATTTTTATTTATTCTTTGAACTGCCAATGGTACTTTTTTTTGTTGATAAATTACACCAAAAGCTTTTGTGTTTGTTACAAATGTTTTTCCAGACTGTCATTTGTGCTTTGACTTTGTCCATATGAAAGTGTTTGGTTTTTATGTGGTCAGACTTTTTCCTCTCTAAAGTTTCTGATTGCTTTGTTATGCTCAGAAAAAATTGATAATTTAAAAAAAAACCTCCCCTGGCGCCAGAGAAATAGTACAGCGAGTAGCGAGCTTGCCTTACACCGATAGTGGGATAGTGGAGAGAGTCCACCAGGTATGATCCCTGAGGGCAGAACCAGGAGTAAGCCCTGAGCACCACGGGGTGTGGCCCAAAATTTCCGCTTTCTTGGGAGAGGAGGTAGGTGGAGTAAGAGCTCTATTAAAGTTTTTTTTAAATCTTGGAGTATGCATGCCTGCAAGGGAGTTAAGAACTGGCTTTACTCCTTCCCGTGTGCCTGGCTAGTGGTGCCACTGTGATGACTAAGTCTTCTAGAAATCTTAAAAGGAAAGATGGGGTGGAGCGATGGGTGCTGGATCATTCTATGACTGAAACTCAATCGTAAACGCTTTCTAACTGCATCTCACGGAGATTCAATAATTAAAATATAATAATAATAATAATAATAATAAATAAACCTGGACCCCAACCTCTGAAACATAAAACGGAAAGACGGAAAAGAATTTATTTTAAAGGCGTTAATAGGGAAATGGTAAAAATTTCCCCAGGAACTTTGTTTTTAGTCCCCTTGCCAACCACACACACACGCCGGGGAGAAGCAAGCAAGCCCTTTGAGCTGAGGACCCGGAAGAGGCGCGGAACTGGTGTGTGCGAGCACCGGCAGCCGGACGAGCCGGGCCACCCAGGACCGCGGCTGCAGCGGGGGAGCGCTTTGCGGGGGACACAGGGCTGCCCGGCGTCGGCCGCGATGCTCCCCTCTTTGCAGGAGTCTCTGGACGGGGACGAGAAGGAGCTGGAGAGCAGTGAGGAGGGCGGCCCGGCCGAGGAGCGGAGACTCGAGCCGCCGCCCAGCAGCCACTACTGCCTCTACAGCTACCGTGGAAGCAGGTGCAGCGTCCTGCCGGCTGCGCGTCCCATCCCCGGCCCGGCCCGGCCCGGCCCGGCCCGTCACGTCCCGGCCCGTCCCAGCCCGGCCGCCGGGCCGCTCGCTAACGCTCTTTTCTTTCCCAGCCAAGAGCGTTTGCCTAAGCGCCGTCCTGCTGTCAGGCTCCCGTCCTGGCCTTCGGTACCCGGCCCTCCCATCTGCCCCTGGCGTTTCCCCCCCCACGCTCAGCTCAGTGCCCTGCGCGCCCCAGTGATGCTCGTGACCTCCCAACCGCCCGGTCCCGCGTCCCTGCGTTGCCCGAACCCGCCCTGCATCTGTGCTGTGCGTGCAACCCCCTTTCCTCCCAGCCGGACTCGCTGCGACTTTCTCTTGGTCTTGTAAGGCCTGTGTCTGTCTTGTGTTGGGAGAAAGGTGCTCGTTTCCTGATGTTTGCTGTAGCCTTTTCTTTCATTTCTTAGGTGACCGTAGGGACCTGAGAGCGTAGGGAACCGTGTGTCATTGTCAGCACTGGCCTAGTGTGCACCTGCCTGCTAGCCTTTTCCGTTGATTACCGACCCCGCCCTGCTTGCAGGTGCCCCCCTACTCCCCGTGGGTCGTGCCTCTGTGTGATAGTGTGTTGCTTTTGTGGTGGCAGATTGGCACAGGCGCGAGGGGATAGTGAAGATGGAAGTCCAAGTGGCACGAACGCAGAAACTCCCTCTGGTGATGACTTCAGGTAAAAACAGCTTATCCATAACCCACCTTACGTGCCTCTTTGACCTGTACGTTCGTGTTTTCGGTTTTGGTGTTGGGGATCAGAATCAGAGCCTGATACATGCAAAGCATGCGCCCTACTACTGAGTTCCATGCCTGGCCTGGCCCATAGCTGACAATGGGTGCCCTACTTCCACTGATCTTTCTCCGAATGAAAGCACAAAGTTTACTGGTGCCCTTGCAACCACATCTTGATTTCCTCATTAATTCACTCATTCAAGCCGCGAGCAGATGTAAATATTGATCATGCAGGCCTGAGCGATAGTACAGCAGGTCGGGTGTTTGCCTTGAATATGGCTGATCCAGATTCGATCCTCGACATCCTGTATGGTTCCCAAAGCACCACCAGGAGTAATTCCTGAGTGCAGAGCCAGGAGTAACCCAGGAGTAACCCCGCAGGGTGTGACCCAACAAACCGAAAAAAAAAATCTTGATAGTACCCCGGTTGATAACCGGTAATAGTTATTTCAAGTTTCTTGATTGCAACGCCAGTAAAATACTCATCAACACAGGGGTACCAAGGAAGTTTTCAGGTCCAGAGTGATGGTACGGGGGTGGGTAGGGCAATTATGTTGCATGTGGCTGGCCCAGGTTCAATCTCCTTCACTCCATATGGTCCCCAGAGTCCTGTTGAGAGTGATCCCTGAGTGCAGAGTCAGGAGTGATCTCTGAGTACTGTTGAGTGTGGCCCTCCCCCCAAAGGAAGCAAATTTTCAGTTCATCCCCTTCCTTGAATATTCTTTCATGCTCTTCTGTTGCATGCTAGCTTGTAACAATTGCAAGTCAGCAGAGATCCCTCTCTCTCTCTCTTTGATGTGGGTTTGGATCACACCCAGCTGTACTCAGGGCTTCTTGCTCTATTCTCAGGAATCTGTAAGGTGCTGCTGGGGGAACTGTAAGTGATGATCAAGCCAAGTTGCATGTAAGACAAGTGCCTCACTATCTCCATCCATCCTTCACTTTCATTCATTGATGTTTCCCTTTGTGGTACTGTCTCATGCCATATAATTAACACATTATTAAATGAGTAAAGATTGGATAATAAACAATTTAAGAAACCTTTCAGGGGCTGCAGGAATAATACAGTGGGTAAGGTGTTTGCTTTGCACATGGCTGACCTGTGTTCCATCCCTGGCTTTGAATAAGGTCCCCCAGCACTGCCAGGAGTGATCCATGAGCCACAAAGCCAGGAGTAAGCCCTGAGTACTGCTGGGTGTGTCCCCAAAACAAAAACAAAAGCGAAAACTTAACTTCGGGTGCTGTAATGGTTTTGTATATACACCTGTTGTTTCATCTTATCAGGATACCTAGTGAGAAATTTATAGATGAAATGATATGAAGCCTGGGGCATACTTCAAAATAAATCTAGAAGATGGGAAGGTTGTAGACAGCCTAAGAGCACAGATGAACAAGACTAGTTATAAGCTGACAGTTGTCAAAACAGAGTGGGGGTTATATGTGGCTAATTATACTATGCTCTCTGCCTAGTATAATAATATAATGTAATATTATATATGTATATAATGTAATATTATACATATTATATATGTATAATATATTATATTACATCATATATTAATATTATACATTATTATATATTATATATAACATGAATATTATATTATATTATATTATATTACATATATTATATATGTAATATTATAATATTATATATAATGTAATATTATATAATATATGTAATATTATAATATAATGTAATATTATATAATATAATAATATAATAATATAATGTAATAGTATAATATAATGTGGCTAATTATACTATGCTCTCTGCCTGTTTGAAGTGCTCTATAATATACATTAAAACAAAAGACAATGAGCAGTGTTGGGCTCATATCTTCTACTGGGACATGTGTTGATAGAAGATCTTTTTTCTCCCTCCAATTCCAAATAGTTGAAATTATAGTCTCCGTTTGTATTTGAATTGAAACTTTTATTTTCTGTTCATAAATGTTTATTGATGGGCAGTAGGTAGTCGAATTGAGGAGAGAAAAGGAGGCCTGACATGGGGACCTGGGAGGACAAAGGAGTGAGGGAATCAGGAAATGTGGTGAGAGCTGGGGGGCGGCGTGGGTTCACTTAAAGCTAGTGATATTTAAAAGGAGACCAGATTCCTTGGATGTGTACTTTAACCATAGAGGTGCAGGGGCAGGGTAGGTGGAGGGCTGGACTAATCAGGGCTGAAGTTTTATTAAATGTGTCCAGTGAGGTGAAAACAGGAAAGAAATGGAATGAGCATTTATACAGGGTGGGAGGGTAAATGCTCACTCTGGTTTTCAGGCTGGGTGAGGAGGAGGGAAGGGATGAGAGGAGAAAGGTGTGGAATTGTGAAAAGGAAGGAAGATGAGTGGGTTGGGGTTCTAGAGGCATTGCACTAGAAAGTGCTATAAAGCAAGGACTAACTGACATTGTTCAGTGAGACAGATCAAATTTCATAATACACTAGAAATATAACCCACAGGAGTGAGAACAGAATATTTACTCAAGTTTTAATCTTATTGATCTAAAAAAATTTGGGGGGAATTGTTTTTTGGGTCACATCTGACAGTTCTCTGGGTTCTGACTCCTGGGCTCTGTGTTCAGGGATCACTCCTGGCATTGCTCAGGAGATCATATGGGACACCAGGGATTGAACCCAGGTCAACCATGTGCAAGGCTAACGCCCTACCGCAGTACTATCACTCCAGCCCCTTTCACATTTTAATTTTATTTACTTAAAAAATATTTTTTTGGAGGGGGGCTGGAGTGATAGCACAGCAGGAAGAGCGTTTGCCTTGCATGCGGCCAACCTGGGTTCGATCCCCGGCATCCCATATGGTCCTCCATGCACCGCCAGGAGTAATTCCTGAGTGCAGAGCCAGGAATAACCCCTGAGCATCGCTGGGTGTGACCCAAAAAGCAGGGAAAAAAAATTTTTTTTTTTTTGGTTTGTTTTTGAGCCACATTTGACAGTGCTCCCTCTGGGCACACTCCTGGCTCTGTACTCCTGGACCACTCCTGGCAGGTTCAGGGGACCAGATTGGGTGCCAGGGATTGAGCCCAGCTCAGCTTCACGCGAGACAAGTGCCCTATCCACTGTCCTGTCTCTCTAGCCCCCTCTCGTTGTGTTCTTTGCGACGTGTCCGAGCACAGGCCTCCCCCAGTAAGGGATATGTGTCTTTTGTTTGTCAAGCCTCTCCTTGGCGGATACTAATCTGCCACCTGAAGTGGAGCCAGAGCTGCGCAGCTTCATCGCTAAGCGTCTTTCCAAGGGAGCCGTCTTCGAGGGCCTGGGTAATGTTGCATCCGTGGAGCTGAGGTAAGGACAAAAGGTGCTGTGTCTTGCGTTTTCATTTCTGACTTAAATATGAGACGTGACAAGAGACTCCAGAAGCTCAGCTCCTCTTCCATTCGCAGGGTTCATCTTTGTCCCCTGGCTGTCCAAGCACGGCAGCCTCACAAATAAACATTTGGGGAGTGGAATTACTTGACCCAAGGCCCAGATTCTCCCTCGTAAGTGGACTGACTCAGTTTTACACTTGGAAGACACCAGTTCACTGCCAGACTAAAACTGTATACTTTAGACTTCGTAAAATGCTTTTGCAAACTTTAATGTCATTTCTTTACCAAAAAAAAAAAAAAAGTAGAGGGCCAGAGCAAAAGCTCGGCTAAGTGGCTTTGCATTCAGGAGACCCCAGTTAGATTCCCAGCACTATATATGGTCCCCTCAGCATTACCTGGACCAGCTTCAAGCAAAAAACTTCGGTCGTCGCTGAGCACTGCTAGGTGTGGCCGAAATAAAAAACAACAACAGCAACAAAAAGGAGACATGGAACAGATACTATTACTTTTATTTTATTTTTATTTCAAATGAAGAAGTAAACTCAGAGAAGCCAAGTTCACATCAGTGACCGTTAGATTAAAATATAGGCATCTTGGGGCTGGAGCAATAACACAGCGGGTAGGGTATTTGCCTTGCATGCAGCCAACCAGGGTTCGATTCCCAGCATCCCATATGGTCCCCTGAGCACCACCAGGGGTAATTCCTGAGTTCAGAGCCAGGAGTAACCCCTGTGCTTCTCCAGATGTGACCCAAAAAGCCAAAAAATAAATAAAAAATAAAATATAGGCACCTTTTGTTGAAGTCCAGCCTTCTTTCCATTTTACCTTTTTGCTGCTGTTGCTGTTTTGGTTTGGGGGGCCACACCCAGAAATGCTCAGGAGTTACTCCTGGCTCTGCACTCAGGAATCACGCCTGGTGGTGCTTTCGGGGACCGTATAGGATGCCAAGGACTGAACCCGGGTCAGCTTCATGGAAGGCATTCATGCGCCTTCCCCACTGTACTGTCTCTCCAACCCCTCTATTTCACCTCTTCATTGTGGTTTTCTTCAGACTGTGATTAGAAGACCACAGGATAAACATGTCATAGCTGACTGGGGCTCCAGTGATTTTTCAAGTTTGTGGGGAGGGAGAGCATGCTTATATTAATGTAAACATGGTTATAGTATGAGATTGAAACTTGCAAGAACTTTTTCACTCAGGAAAATTCCACGAGTTAAATATTTGTTGGGGGCTGTTTCAGCTAAAGTCAATCATGATATCAGAGTCCTGACCCAGTGGGGACAGGCCTGGTCTTCAGCAAGGGAGCTCCCTGCTCAGTGGCTGCAGGGACAAGGAGGCCTCAGGCCCAACTTCTCCAGGAACAGCGTGGCACCTGCACAAGCTGCAGATTGGCTGCTGGGGAGACATGTTTATTTTCCTGTTACAACGTGGAACTCATGGAGTCCAGCAAACTGAAGGAGTGAACAGTCTAACTTTTATTTCGGAGCATTATCAAATCAAGGTCAATGCTGGATCACAATGACAAAGATTCAGAGTAGTCCATAAAATCAGGTGCACAGGTTAATAAAACAACACATTTGACCTTTGTCTCTCCTAGAACTCCAGGTTACCGGGTTGGTTGTTACTACTGCCTTTTTCAACAAGACAGACTGCTTCCTGAAACTGCAACCATGGACTCTGAATCCAGTCCTTCAGACTATGTGGTCTGCTTTTTAGGAGGGTCTGAGAAAGGACTTGAGCTATATCCTTTACTTGGTTTAAGAGAATAGCAGGAGGGAAAATGCAGGACCAACCTCCCAAATCCTTCCTACCCCACCCTTGAGCTTCAGACTTGTACTTCCTCCCTGCTTTTTGCCAGTCTATCTTGGCTTATTTGATGTTACAGTTTTCGTTTTGTAAGGAGAGATAAAACACTCTTGATTCATCCTTTATTGCTTCCTTAAGAACAAACTTTCAGGCTTGAATTGGACAAGTACATTCAGGGGCTGAAAGATAAATTGAACTGTGAGGTAAGAGTATTAATTTAGTAATATGTTTATTTATTTATGTTGGTTTTGGACCACCCAGTGATTCTTGGGGCTACTTACAGCTCTATGCTTAGAGTTACTTAGGTTCTTCTTCTTTTTTTTTCTTTTTGGGTCACACCCAGTGATGCTCAGGGGTTACCCTGGTTCTGCACTCAGGAATCACTCCTGGTGGTGCTTGGGGGACCATATGGGAAGCCAGGGATCAAACCTTGGACGGCCGCATGCAAGGCAAATGCCCTATCCGCTGTACTCTTACCCTGGCCCCATTATTTAAATTCTTAAAGGGGGATGTGGTTCCTAAACTCTATACATTCAACTTAACTTGACTCACCTCACTTACTCAATGGTCCCTAATTTAGTAGGGTTTTTTTTTTTTGTGGGAAGCAACACCCAGCAATGCTCAGATAGAGATTGCTCCTGGCTCCGCGCTCAGGAATTACTCCAGGTGCTCATGGGACAATATGGGATACTGGGGATAGAACCTGGGTTGGCCATGTGCAAAACAAACACTTTACCCCTGTACTATCCCTCCTAATTTAGTAGTTTTAAAAGACAGACGTGATCACAACATAATGTCACTGATATACTTGTCTGATCATATAGATAGGCACAGATACCTAAACTCTTTCTTTTTTGTTATTATTTGTTTTTGGTTTTGAGGGCACACCAGACAGTGCGCAGGTTCTGCTTTCAGGAATCACTCCTGGCAGGGCTCAGGAGACCCTATGAATGAAGTTCATTCATTCATTCATTCATAGGGGATGAAGATGGTTTACCTCATGCAAAGCTTTTAAAAGCTTACCCCACTATACTATCTCTCTGTCCCCAGATGCCTAAATTCTATTTTTTTTCTTTTGCATTTTGGGTCACACCCATCGATGCACAGGAGCTACTCCTGGTTTATGCACTCAGGAATTACTCCTGGCAGTGCTCGGGGGACCATATGGGATGCTGGGAATCGAACCTAGGTCGGCTGCGTGCAAGGCAAACGCCCTGCCCGCTGTGCTATTGCTCCAGCCCCCAGATGCCTAAGTTCTAAAAAGTGCTATTTTTAGAATTTAGCCATTGAATTTAGTGTTGAAGTAAGATAATTTTTTTGGTTTTGTGGTTTTGGGCCCCACCCAGTGGTGCTCAGGGCTAGCATTTCTCAAGGATCACTCCTGGCAGGGCTTGGGGGAACCATGCAGGGTGCCAGGGGTCAAACCTGGGTTGGCTGCATGCAAGACAGCACTCTGCTCGTTGCACTATTTATCTGGTCCCTGATTTTTTTTTAAACTTTGGGCCATACCCAGCAGTGCTGGGGGCTATTTCTAACTTGGGGGATCATGTGGTCGTGTGGATCAAATAGAAATGGGCCCCATTCAAGGTAAAGTACCTTAATCCCCATGCTAACTCTCTTGCCCCGAGAAAGAGATTGTTAAAGGGAGTAAGAACAGAGTCCTATAAGTTTCAAAGACAGCATCTGATATTTTGTATTCATAAAAAATTCAGTCCATTTAATTCAGTGGCATATGGTAACCTGCCAAGTGTGCAAGGGGATGCTTCTCTTCCCGATTTCTAGGCACATGAGATTTATATTCTGGTCAGAACTAATGGTCCATAAAGTCTCTGGCACCAGAGACAGGCTACACGATGTTTGACTGGTTTGGGAGTCAACATTAATGACTTAGAAAGATTCCACTTTCATTAATAAATATTTCATGAATTCAGTACATCCACATTTATGTGTTTGTTTTGGGGCCACACCCAGGAGAGCTCAGGGCTTACTTCTGGCTCTGTGCTCAGGGATCATTCCTAGTGGGACTTGGGGGACCTTATAGGTTTTCAGGTATAGAACCCAGGTAAGTGCAAGGAAGGACTCTACCCCCTGTCCTATTGCACCAGCCCCTGCTGTGGGTTTGACTGCTTTGAAGAGTTGCTTTGTTGGCTAGAGAAAGATAGTGCAGGGTTAAGGTGCTTTCCTCACACGTGGTCGACCCCTGCTCAATTCCTGGCACTGCATATGATTCTCTGAGCTCTTCCAAGAATAATCCTGAGCACAGAGCCAGGAGTAAGCCCTGAACACATTGGGCTTGGCTCAGTAACCCTCCTCTCTCCACCTCCACCCCAAAAAAACAAAAACAGAAAGTGAACCGCTTATTATTTTCGCTGGTTACATTTTCAGTGAATGAGTTCTCTGTCTACATTGCATCATTCATTCAATAGGTACTTAACAAGTTCATATGTGGATGTTTTAGACACTGTCCTGGGTGTTGAGGAGAAGGAATTATTAAGAGCATATCATCTGGGGCCAGAGAGATAAGGTAGCGCTCTTGCCTTGCATACAGATTACTTGGCATATCATATGATCTGGGAGTGGTCCTTGAGTGCAGAGCCACATCCTGAGCACTACTAGATGTGGCCTCCAGCCCTCTCCCACACTAAGAGTATATCCAATGAAATAATGATATAATAGAGGAGAGGGGATGGCCTTTTTTTTTTTTTTTTTTTTTTTTTGGTGGAGGGGTGTTTGGATTACCTGGTAGTATATTAAGGCATATGCCTTAACCTCTGTACTGTCTCTTTGGCCCTGGGAGTGGACAAATACATGCTTAATTCTTCTTAGTGAAGAAATAGCATGGAACCATATTAATATTCCTTAATTAGGAACCATATTAATATTCCTTAATTAATTAATTGATTAGTTTTTAGGTCACACCTGACTTTGCTCCAGGCTCGCTCTTGGCTCAGAGATCACTCCTGATGATGCACGGGGGACCAGTTATTGAACCTGGTCAGTGTGTGTAAGGCAAGCACCCTACCCAGTCATCCTTTTTTTTTTTTTTTGGCTTTTTGGGTCACACCGGTGATGCTCAGGGGTTAACCCTGGCTCTGCACTCCGGATTTGCTCCTGGCAGTGCTCAGGGGACCATATGGGATGCTGGGGATAGAACCCAGGTCAGTTGTGTGGAAGGCAAATGCTCTCCCCGCTGTACTATCACTCCAACCCCTCCTTTTTGTTTTATATGAAACGTACTTTACCTATTTTTTGTTTCTTTTTGGGCTACACCTGACTGTGCTGAGGACTTGCTCCTGATTTTGAGTTCAGGGATCACTCCTAGCAGCTTAGGGCACCATATGTGGCACTGAGGGTTGAATCCAGCTCTGCCGTATGCAAGTAAAGTGTCCTACACATTGTACCATCTTCCTTTCCATTGTACTATCTCTTTGGCCTCCCTTAATATATTTTTAAGTAACTCAATACAGAATTAATCCTCACTCTGCCAAACAAGCTCAGGAAAGCTATATTATAATTCCTCCTTGGTAGTGGTGGTGGTGGGGAAGTTGGGGCGGGGACCATACCTGGCTGTGCTTAGGACTTAGCCCATACCTGGCTCTGTGGTCAGGGATCACTCTTGGCAGGGCTCAGGAGACCACCTGGGGTGCCAGGGATATAATCTGGGTTCACTGTATAGAAAACAAGTGCCCTATCCATTGTACTACCTCCCCTTTGTACTATCTCTCTGGCCTCTATAGTTTTTTTGGTTTTGTTTTGATTGGTAGTACTAGCTTTAAAAAGGTGTTTGTCCCTAGTTCTTTTCACTGTCAAAAAGTATAGAAATAAAACATTAAATCCACTAAGGTGAAGACTTGTATTAAAGCAAACAACATTTTCTCTTGATCTAGGAAAGTGGCATGGAAGTCCACATTAAGTCCTACCTGAGCAGCTGGTTTGAAGATGTCGTATGCCCGATCGAAAGGGTGGTTCTTCTCTTTCAGGAGAAGCTTAACTTTCTGCTCCATGCTGTAAGTAATGTCCAAACAGAAGTAATTCCTTGAGAATCCAGTGAAGCTCTGTGGTCGAGTTTCTGCCCCGTAGGCAAGAGGCTAGGAGTGCAATCCTAGTGGCACTGCTATTTGTGGTTCCTGATGCGGACCCTTGGCATGAGCCCTGCAGCCTAGAACAATGTACCACAGACAAGGGGTGATGCCCACTGAGCACTACAGCCAAGTGCGCACAGGGCCTGGTCATTGCTAGGCTCCAAACAAAGTGAAGGGAAGGTGGGAGAGAAGCATTTCTTTATGCTTTGGTAGAGTTTGGATCATTTTGAGACATAATCAGTTTCTCTGGTATTACTTCTTCCACCTTGGTCCTTGACAAATAGTCACTCAAACTGTGCTTTCTGTCAAGACAGACTACAAGTATTTGCTTTGATCCTGGGGATCAGACTTAAGGCCTTCCCTCGCAAGGCAGGTGTTCTACCACCGAGCTCTCTCTCCCTGAGCGTATTTACTCAGATCTGGATAGTTGCATGACTAAAGCACAATTTCAAATTCTGTCTGAGTCTTCCTAGGAATTTGAAATATATATTTTAGTAATTGTTTTTTGAAGGAATCTAGGAGAGGTGTCATTTCCAGAACAATTTGAGGAGGATGGTTAGAGAGTGAGTACAGGGGTCAAGGTGCTCAGCTGACCGTGCAGCCTACCCAGTTAGGTTCTATCTGGTCTCCCAAGTCCCATCGGGAATGATTCGTGAACCAAGAGTCAGGTGTATGCCCTGAGCAGAAAAAACAATTGTGCTCCAAAAAACAATTTGAAGGCTAGAGAAATAGCACAGCAAGTAAGGCACTTGCCTTGCAAAGGGCTGACCCAGTTTTGATATCTGGCACCACATATGGTCCACTGAGTCCTCAGGAGTCATCCCTCGGCACAGAGATAGGAGGAAGCCCTGAGTACTGCAAGAATGTCCCCAAAACAAAAACATAATTTCAGAAGAAAAATAAAAATGCCAAGTGATCTTAGTCTCAGGATGTAGCTTAGTGCTAGAGGGCATACCTTGCATGTATTAAGCCCTGGATTCCATCCCTGCCACCACCACCCCCCCCCCAAAAAAAAAGAAAACACAAACATACACAACAGAAAGGAAGAAAGAAAAGAAAGAAAAAAAGAAAGAAAGAATTCTAAGAAATTTTAACAATATAAACATGTCCAGATAAAAAAAAGTAAGAAAAAATTGGGGCCGGAGATATAATGCCTTACGCATTTTCTTTGCATGTGCCCAGCCTGAATTTTATCCCTGGCACCACATATGGTCCCAGAGCCCTACCAGGAATGTTTCCTGAGCACAGTCAGGAGTGAACTGTAAGCACCAGTAGGTGTGACCCAAAAACAAAAACAAAGAAAAAAAATTAAAATCTGGGTGAAGAGCTAGATCAGGGATTAAGGATTAAGATACTTGCCTCATATGAAGCTGACGCTGGTCTGATCCCAGCATGCCGTCCTGAGAACTGCCAGGGGCAACCCCAACCCCTGAGGACAAAGTCAGGAGTAGCCCCTGAGCAGCACCCAAGCCCCACACTCCTAAATAAATCAGAAATGAAAATGAAAAATCGCCCAGATGTGGGGGTAACCTTGAGTAAGTGGCCAAGTTTTTCATTTAAATATGTGATGTGGGGCAGGATAGCTCAGTAGGTAGGGTACTCGCTTTGCATTCCGCTTATCTGGGTTCAAGACCCAGCACCCTCTATGGCCCCCAGTTCCCTCCAGGAGAGATTTCTAACCACAGGATCAGGACTAAACCCTGAGCACCACCTGGTATTGTTTTGAAACAAACCGTGAAACATGGTGGACACAACTGAGAGCGTGGCCCATTGAACCAGGTGGTGAACAATTTCAGACTCTCAGAGCGGCAGCTGAACAAGGGGGCGCTGGGGAGCTTGTGGGGTAGCAGTTTCTGGGGCCCATGCTGGACAGTCATGAGTAGCTGCTCAATAAGGAACACTGGTATAAAGTTTTTCCTTCTCTGTTCTAGGCACTAAGTTACACTCCTGTTGAGGTTAAAGAATCAGATGAAAAAACAAAGAGAGACATTAACAGGTAAAGCATTTAGGTTTTTTTTTTTTTTTCAAAGAAAAAATTCTTTTCTTGGGGCCAGAGAGGTAGTATAGGGGTTAGGATTCTTGCCTTGCACATGGCTGACCTGGATTTAATCCCCAGCATCCTATAGACGAGGGGCCCCCGCCCCCTCCCCCACACCTTTCCCTCCGCCCTCTCAGGAGTAAGCCCTGCATGCTGCCAGGTGTGGCCCCAAACAAATGAAAAAAACAAAAACCCAACCTTTTCCATAGCAAGCCTGATATATACAGATTTAGCCCCCCCCGTTCTGCTCATGCCACCCCTCCCCCTCCATCCTGCACACAGCATGGAATGATTTTGCTTTCTCCTGCCAGCCTGCATTTTGTGGACAAGAACTTGTTGTGTCTGCAGGTTTCTGAGTGTGGCCAGTCTCCAGGGCCTTATTCACGAAGGCACCATGACCTCTCTGTGTATGGCCATGACTGGGGAGCAGCACAAGTCGGTGGTCATCGATTGCAGCAGCCCCCGGCCGCAGCTCTACAACGCAGGTGAGCCACCTCCTGGGTGCTCTCAGGATGCTAAACTTAGCCTTTCTGTCTTTCGTAGTTTTTTGAGTTGGTCCTAGACTCACCAAAACCAGTAATGATTTCCAAACATGCCTAGCAATTCCACTCCAGGGTAATTTGATATTGCTCGTTAGTTGAGGTTTTTTTGTTTTGTTTTGTTTTGTTTTTATGGCGGGGGTGCGGGGTACATCTGGTGGTGGTCAGGGATTACTCCTGGTTCTGTGCTCAGGGACCATTCCTGGTGGTACTTGGAGGACCATATGGGATACCAGGAATTGAACCCATGTTGACCATGTACCATGCATCATCAAGTGCCCTCCCTGCTGTACTATCTCTCCAGCTCCTGGACATATTTTGAGAAGCCCTTATAATGTACAGAAGGAGAGAAATTAAAATGTTCAGTTTGAATCCCTGGTACCACAAAGTGTACAGGGGTTAAGGTATTTGTCTTGAATGTGGTTGATCACATTTAATCATTTAATCCCTGACATCACATAGTACCTGAGCATTGCCAAGAGTCTCACCTAAATTCAGAGTCAGAAGTTACTCTGAGCACTGCTGGGTATGATTTCTCGCCCCACTCCCCTCCCCCAAGAAAAAAGGAAAAAAAATGTTTATAAATGAATTATTTGAAAAAGGGTATAGAGGGGCCGGAGTGATACTACAGCAGTCAGGGCATTTTCCTTGCATGTAGCCAACCCGGGTTCGATCCCTGGCATCCCATATGGTTCCCGAGCACTGCCAGGAGTGATTCCTGAGTGCAGAACCAGAAGTAACCCCTGTGCATCGCCAAGTGTGACCCAAAAAGACAGAAAAGAAAAAAGGAAAAGAAAATAGCAAAGAATTGGAAGCCACTTAAAAGTGTAGATGTTGAGGAACTACTCAAAGGGCTGGAAAGAGTACAGCAGGTAAAGCATTAGTCTTGCATGCGGCCAACCAGGTTTGATCTCCAGTGCCCCATATGGTCCCAAACATCACCAGGAATAATCTCTGAAAGCATGAGTAAGCCTTGAGCATCACTAGGTGTGACCCCCCCCCAAACAAACAAACAAAACCAAGATTGGAATACTTGCCTGGCATTCACTGTGCCCCACTTTGCTATCTGTCACCACATAGCCTCCGAGCACTGCAAGGGCAGTAGTCTTCGTAACCCCATAGTGTTGTTGGGGAAGCCTCAATATTAAAAAAGTCTCAAAAAATTGATTAAAAAACTGATAATTGCTTCATGGAAATGAACTAGAGCCATGTGTTTCGGTTTCTCTGAAAACCATACAGTGAGATAACCAATAGGAAAAAAATATATAAAGCTTTAACATATGCAAGACAATATGTTTGGTGGTGATGTATATATTAAGGGACAGGGATGTAGCTCATGGTAGAGTACTTGTCTTAAATGAGGCACTGGGTTCAGTAATCCACAGTCGGTCATGATCCTCCCGTTGTTCATCGATTTGCTCGAGCGGGTCCAGTAACATCTCCATTGGAGACTTTTGTTGTTACTGTGTTTGGCATATCGAATACATCACGGGTAGCTTGCCAGGCTTTGCTGTGCGGGCAAAATATTCTCGGTAGCTTGCTGGGCTCTCCGAGAGGGGCGGAGGAATCGAACTCGGGTTGGCCATGTTGGCTTTGTGCAAGGCAAACGCCGTACCACTGTGCTATAGGGGCCAGTAAGAGTCTGGGGGTTAAGGTGCTTGCTTTGTGTGTGGCTGGTTCTGGTTCCATCCCTGGCATTGCCTGTGGTTCCCTGAGCACAGAGTCAGGAGTAAGCCCTGAGCACTGCTACAAGTGAATCAAAAATTGTTGAAAAAGGGGAGGAACATGGAAAAAATTTAAAAAGGTAAACAGGGGGTGGGGCAGTCAGAGAGAGAGAGAGTACAAAAGTTGAGGCACTTGCCTTGCCTGTAGCTGTGGCTGCGATTCTGGTTCAAATCCTGGAGCCACATGTCGTCTCTGGAGAACTGCCAGGTGTAGACCCAACAGATACGGGCACTGAGCACCACTGGGTGTGGCCCCAAATCCAAAAACAAATAAAAAAAAAAAGAGGAATAAATAAAAATAAGAAATAGGAATCCTTATACTTTCTGCTAAGGGGTGATTGGGAATTAGAAGAAACACACAGGGCTTTAACCATCATGGTTTTTTTTTTTTTTTGGTTTTTGGGTCACACCTGACAATGATCAGGGGTTATTCCTGGCTCTGCACTCAGGAATTACTCCTGGCAGTGCTCGGGGGGCCACATGGGATGTCAGGAATCGAACCCAGATCAGCTACATGCAAGGCAGACACCCTACCCACTGTATTATCGCTCTGCCCCAGGTTATTTTCTTTGAGGGAATAGTGTTTGGGTTACACCTGGTAGAATTTTGGGGCTATTCCTGGTTCTGTGTTCAGGAGTGATCCTAGTCCATGCTCAGGAGACCACATGCAGTGTCAGGATTGCAAGGGAAGTTCCTACCTACTGTACTATCTCTCCGGACCTGAATTCTACTTGTTTACTTGCTTTTTCTAAAATGTTGATAGGAAGCAACCGGTTTTGTGAAGATTGGATGCAGGCTTTTTTAAATGGTGCTGAAGGAGGTAATCCTTTTCTTTTTCGACAAGTGCTGGAGAACTTTAAACTAAAGGTAATCAACTCACAGTGTACCAACTGTCATAAAATTCTTGTATGAACTTTAATTTGTGTCAGTAACAACCTTCTTTACAGCTGCAATTGTTTTGTTTGTTTTGGGGCCATGCCCAGCAAAAGCTCAGAGGTTACTCCTGGCTCTGCACGCAGGAATCACTCCTGAGAGTGCTCAGGGAACTATATTGGATGCCGGGATCAAACAGGGTCATCTGCGTGTAAGGCAAATGCCTTAACACTTGCACTATTGCTCCCCCAGTTGTGATATTTTAATAGAAGTTCTCAAAACTAGAATTCTCAGGAGAAATTTATACTTTCCAGAGTTTTCTGAATTCATTTCTAATTACTTGGGTTGAATGCTTACTTATTTTTCAAAATGTTATTTTCATCAGGTTATTCACATTAATTGATTGCATTCAATATTTCAACATCAATCCCACCACCATTACACCTTCCCACCAGCATTCAAGCCTGCCCGCCAGGAGCAAAAGCTAGATAATTTATTTCCTATTGCTTATTATTAATGTCATGAGAGCTCATGTGGGCATGCGCTTCTGGAATTTCTAACATTGTAAATGGTTGGGGTCCAGAGACATCTCTGTAGGGAGCTAATCCATTTTGAGTTTCATTTGGGAGTCTCTGGATCAAGGCCATTGATGGCTGAGATGGTGCCCAGAGGCAGTTTGTGGGCATGACAGCCAGGACCCCAAGCTGGTGAGGAGATGGGAAGGGCCAGCCCGTCTCCACTGCCACCATGTGGCCTGGAGTCTTGTTCCTGAACCCAGGTACCTGGGTATTTCTTCCGGAAGCTCGTGGCCACTGGGATTTCATCTGGAGGGGGCAGAGAGGGTACACCTGCTCCATCTGAGGTGCCCCAGTGGAAGTGACTTGGTACAGGGTCTGGAGAGATCTCTGGCGAGCTGCTATCTCACGGGATTCACTGCTGTCTCTGCATCAAGAGCATCTTGATGCTCTGAGATGGCCCCGGAGGCAGATCGTGGTGAATGCTTACTTATGTCTCAAGTACATAATTGCAATTGGGACTTTCTTATTTTGAAAGCACAGTAAAAGTGGTTCAGTGCCTAAGCATTCAAAATTAAGTCAGAAATATTGTCACCTTAGGTGGGTTGGAGCAATAGTACAGTGGGCAATGCACTTGCCTTGCACACCACCAACCAGGCAGGGTTCAATCCCTAGCATCCCGTACGATCCCCAAGCACCACCAGGAATGATTCCTGAATGCAGAGCCAGGAGTAAGCCCTGAGCATCATCAGGTGTTGCCTATCTATACCCCCCCACCCCCCCCGCCCACATATACACACACAAAAGAAGTATTGTCACCTTATTTGGGATTTTTTTTTTTGGTGTGTTTGGTTCTGGGTCACACCCAGCCACGCTAAGAGGTTATCTCTGGTGGAGCTCGGGAGAACATATGGGATGCTGGGGATCAAACCTGGGTTGGTCACATGCAAGGCAAGTGCCTTACTTGCTGTACTATCATTCAAACCCCTATTTATAATATTTAAAAAATGTTCTTACTTTACATAAGGCATTTTGTTCTATTAATGCACTGTAGCAAAATGTACTATAGCACTGTTCTCCCATTGTTCATCGATTTGTTCGACTGGGCACCAGTAACGTCTCCATTGTGAGACTTGTTACTGTTTTTGACATATCGAATACATCACGGGTAGCTTGCCAGGCTTTGCCATGCGGGCGGGATACTCTTGGTAGCTTGTTGGGCTCTCCGAGAGGGGTGAAGGAATCGAACCTGGGTCGGCCACATGCAAACCAAACGCCCTACCCACTGTGCTAGCACTCCAGCCCTTGCTGTGGCTCCAGCCTTAAGGACAAAATATTAGAAACAAAATAATGGAAATATTCACAATAAAAACAAACATCAGGGCTGGAGAGATAGTACAGTAGGTAGAGTGCTTGCCTTGCACACAAATACAATCCCCATCTGCTCACCTGGTTTCTGAGCCCCACCAGAAGTGTCCACTGAGCCCAGAGCCTGGAGCAAGCCCTGAACACGGCCAGGGGTGATCCAAAACCAAAACCTAAAAAGAAAAATAATAAAACATGTTGAAGTTTTGGCGAGACATTTTAGACTTACCTATTATTTTAGTAAATGCATATTTAATCGGTGATCTTTTCTAGGCCATACAAGACACAAATAATTTGAAGAGATTTATCCGACAGGCAGAAATGAATCATTATGCTTTATTTAAATGTTACTTGTTCCTAAAGAACTGTGGTAGTGGAGATATCCTCTTGAAGATTGTTAAAGTGGAACATGAAGAAATGCCAGAAGCAAAAAATGTGGTAGCGGTCCTGGAAGAATTTATGAAAGAATCTTCTTAAAATTTTTGATCAAATGTTTTGGGACAACTATATGTTGAAGTTGTATAACTGAGCCTTGAAGTTTGGAATTACAGTTGTAGTTGTTGATAGGCAATGCGTTCTAGATTCCTTTTTCATTTTTTACTTTAAAATTTTAACTTAATTAAACATTCAATCTGAGGAGAATCTTCTGAGTCCTAGATAGAGATGTGTTTGAGTTGTGGACTTACGGTACAGAGGTTGCTTTTAAAGCTGCAGGAGGTGTTGGGGAGATAGCTCAGAGATCTGGAGCACACACTGTGCGTGCACCAGCCCCTGGTTCAATGTGCATCACAGCATGGTCCCCTGAGCGCCTCCAGGACTGAACCCCCTCAAACTCTGCTAGTATTCCTTGGAACACTAAACTGGCTGTGGTCTCCAAATCAAAATCAAACCAAAACAAAACTGAAGGGTTTCTTTGTGATGTCTCCAGGAATTTGCTGTGATTCTGAGCATTTTTTTTCCTCCTGGAAGAATAGTACTTTCTTTTCAGTGAACACCAGCATCTTTTTTAAAAAAGTGAATTCCTGAGAGTCAGAGAGATAAGTACAGCAGGTAAGGCACTCCTTGCCTTGCACACGGCACACCTGGGTTTGATCCCTGGTACCTCATATGGCCCCCTGAACACTGCCTAGAATGATCCCCTGAGCGCAGAGCCAGGAGTAAGTCCTGAGCACAGTCAGGGATGACCCAAAAGAACAAAAACTAAATAATAAAAGTGAACTCCTGAGCTAAAGAGAGCACAGGGGTTAAGGCACTTGCCTTGCATGCAGCTGATCTGAGTTTGATCTCTTATACCACTTAGAATGTCCCAAGTTCCACCAGGAGTGATCCCTAAACAGAGTGAGGAGTAGCCTTGGGTACTGTGGGGTGTGGCCTCCACTCCATAACTCCCCCAAAGTGCTCCTAATTTCGGAAAGATAGCAGAATGAAACCGTTTCAAAGACAAATCTGTGCATCCTGTGGGTGCTTGATAGATTTCTTTTTGTCTACTAGATAATGGAAGGGCGATGAAGCCAACCTTTGTCAATATGCAAGTAAATCTTGACTGTACCAGAAGTTAAATAAGCTTTAAAATAGATTCACTTGCTCCAAGATGAAACATCGTGTCTGATGGAATGCTACTGTGTTAGTGATTTCCATCCTTTCCTTTCTTCATTTGTTCATCGTTATTTGCCAGAACCCTGTTTTTCCCCTTTTAGATGAAAACGCTAGTTTTTAGACGGAGTGTTAAGCAGAGTGTTAAAAAAGAAACAGTACATGAATTTTTCAAGCCAACTGTAGCATAAGGAATGCAAACAGATTCTTTATGTCAGAGTTGCTCATTGATTTTTTTTGTTCTTTGTACATTAGTCACAAACCTCATACTGTTTTACTGTGAAAGTGCCCTCAGCTAGAGCCATTTACAATCATCCCCATAGAAGCCGGTTGTAACCACACACATATGACTGCAGTTTGCTCTGCACAGCTCTTTAATAAATCCATTTGATAATGATTTTTTGTTTAGAAGATCAGAAGTCTTGTTTTCTCACTGCCCCCATTATACTCGGAGGACTGCAGACCCATAAAATCCTCTCTTTGACTCCTCTGAATTCATATTACGTTCTGAGTTTTAACTTTGAAAATGACTGACAAAAGCTTCCTCTGTTCTTCTCCTCAGAAGTCTGGGGATGTGACTATGACTCACTCTTTTCTTTTAAGGAGAAATACAATTCAAGAGATCCAGAAAGGTTTTCATATCGATTTAAACTTTGATAATGTGGATTGTATTCAGTCTATTAAAAATAAAATTCTGAGAAGCATCTATAGCATTAAGTTCATTCAGAATGATGAGAAATCAGCAATTTTAATGGTACTCTCCTTCAATCTGATTTTTTCTAATAGGATTGGATATCAACTTTTTTTAATTTTGGGGGGGAGGATTTGGGCCATCCCCAGCTGAGTTCAGGACTTACTCCTACCTCTTAGGGATCACTCCTAGTGGTGATCAGAAGACCATATGTGGTGCTGGGGATTGAACCAGGGTCGGCTCTGTGCAAGTCAAGCTACTCTACCCCTTGTACTGTTGATTAATTTTTTTTGTTGTTCTCCAAAATTGAGCCCATCCTACACCCAAGACATGCACTCTACCAGTGAGCTACAACCCTAACCAGAAATCAATTTAATTTTCTTTTTTTGCTTTTTGGGTCACACCTGGCGATGCTCAGGGGTTACTCCTGGCTTTGCACTCAGGAATTTCTCCTGGCGGTGCTTGGGGGACCATATGGGATGCTGGGAATTGAACCAGGGTTGGCCGTGTGCATGGCAAACGCCCTACCCACTGTGTTATCTCTCCAGCCCCTCAATTTAATTTTCAAGAGCAATATTAGAATATCGTCATCTTGAATCTGGAAAACATACATTTAATTTTCAAATTCATATGTCATTCCAGAATCCGTGTTGTAAATTGCTTTTAAAGCAATGGTCTGCCTGCTTCAAATCCTTTACGGATATAGACAAGGTATAAGGATGCATTCTTTCCTGTACCTCTATATGTGTATTAGTGCCAGAGATTCACCCAGGGCCTCACACATGTGAGGTATGTGATCTACTACTGAGCCACCATCCCCAGCTCCTGTATATAGAATCTGTAATATATGTATAATACAGTGTCATACTCAAGAGTATATAATATAAAATCACTACACTAAGTTGTATACAGTGCACTCTCTTATTTAATTTTGGTTTGGGGGCTGCACGTTGCAGTGCTCGGAACTCTTCCCACTTCGTGCTCAGTGATCGAACCTGGGCTGGGAGCATGTACTTTACCTCTGTATTACCTCTTCAGCCCATAGTCTTATTTAATATTTTATTTTACAAATCTGTGACAGGGACAGAGAAGCAGCTCTGGGCTGAGCATGTGCTATGCATGTTGGAGGTCAGGGGCCAGGTCTGCTCCGTGCACTGCGTAGTCTCCTGAGCACTTCTGGGAGCCACTCTTGGTTTTGTTTGTTTGTTTGTTTTGGGGGGCCCACACCCGGCACTGCTCAGGGGTTACTCCTGGCTCTGCATCCAGGAATTACTCCTGGTGGGTTGGGGGGGGCCATTTGGGATGCCGGGGATCGAACCCCGGGTTGGCCGAATGCAAGCAAACACCCTCCCCAATGTACCCTGGAAGCCACTCTTGAGCACAGAACTGGAAGTAACCCCAGGACACCACCAGGTGTGGCCTGAAACCTCAAAATAAAAGTCTGTGATAAATTGTATTTCATGAGTGTAGATGAGGAAAATAGTGACGTGGAATTGAAGCTCTTGTTGACCTTGAGAAGAATCTCACAGTGCTTGTGTTCATAAACATTTTCTAGCTCCACATTTTAATGAACTAATGTATTTTTCAAGTTTTAGAATTTGTTCAAGTGTTTTCATATTTGTCTGTTATCTGTGTGCTGTATATACAGAGGAAATGTATGTCATACAAAAACAGTCTGTTTATCTGTAATTATATATTATTGTAATAATAATAAACAATTCAACTTCTCACCATGCAGTTACTTGTTTATTTACTGTTTTTTTTTTTTTTTGTCACACCCAGTAGTGCTCAGGGCTTATTCCTGGCTCTGCACTTAGGAATCATTCCTGGTGGGCTTGGGGGCCATGTGGGATGCTGGGGATTGAACCCAGGCTCATGCAAGACAAGCACCCCATCTGCTATACTATTGCTCTGGCCCCTGCAATGACTTTTTTTTTTAAATTTTATTGAATCACCGTGAGATAGTTATAAGCTTTCATGTTTGGGTTACAACCACAAAATGATCAAATGCCCATCCCTCCACCAGTGCACATTCCCCACCACCAATATCCCCGATATACCCCCCCCTTCCCACCCTCCTTCTGCCTCCATGGCAGACATGATCCCCCATAATCTCGCTCTACTTTTGGGCATTATGGTTTCAATACAGACCCTGAGAGGTTATCATGTTTGGTCCTCTATCTACTTTCTGCACACATCTCTCATCCCGACTGATTCCTCCAGACATCTTTTTCTTAGTGATCCCTTCTCTATTCCAGCTGCCTTCTCCCCTTTGCTCATGAGGCAGGCTTCCAGCTATGGAGCAATCTATTTGTCCCGTATATCTACTGTCCTTAGGTGTCAGCCTCATGTTATGTTGTTTTATACTCCACAAATGAGTGCAGTCCTTCTATGTCTGTCCCTCTCTTTCTGACTCATTTCACTTAGCAAGATACTCGCCATGTCTATCCATTTATAAGCAAAGTTCATAACTTCATCTCTCCTGACAGCTGCATAGTATTCCATTGTGTAGATGTACCAAAGTTTCTTTAATCAGTCATCTGTTCTAGGGCACTTGGATTGTTTCCAGATTTTGACTATTGTGAACAGTGCTGCAAGGAACATAGAAGTACAGATGTCATTTCTACTGTGCTTTTTTGCAGTGACTTTTTTAATAAGCTTGATTCTCAAGCCTAACCCTGGGGTGGGAACGATTAGAGCATTTGCCTTGCACGTGACAGACCTGAGTTCAGTCCCCGGCATCCCATATGGTCCCCTGAGCCCCACCAGGAGTATTCATGAATGCAGAACCAGAAGTAACCCCCGAGCCCTGCCGGGTATTACCCAAAAAGAAAAAATTATAAGCCTGACCCTTTTTGGGGGGTGGAGTTTGAGTCATACCTGGAGGTGCTCAGTCAGGGCTTACTCCTGACAGGGCTCAGGGGACCTTATGAGGTCCTGAGGATGGAACTGGGGTCTGCCACATGCACAGCAAGTCACAGTCACCCCTGTACTATCTGGCCCTCGGGACTAATATTTCTATTAATTTGTAACAAGCTTGTGAAAACATTTCTGAAGAGAAAATTTCTGAAGAAAATTTTTGCATGTTGCGGGAGGCACTGGGCAAGAAAAAGAGCAATTTCTTTCTTTTTTTTTTTTCCACCTTCCCTTTCGTCAGTACTCTGTCGTGATGGCCTGAAGTCCTGCATACTTGGTTGTGGTGCTTGCTTGCTACACATCAGTTTGTGGTGCCTTCACACTCAGGCAGGGCCCCCCCAGCACCTGTGGGTGGCCGCAGGGACCACACTCCAGGCTTCATGCTTAAAAGGCAGGTGCTTTAGCCAATGAGCCAACTCCTGGAAGAACTACTTTTTT